ATCCATATTTGCTTTTGTTCATTCATGCAGTTTACACCAAGCTGATGACTTTGTGGTACTTTTCCCTTATAGACATGACAACAGAAGAAGTTACCAAGCAATGAAACCACAATCCTCACGTCTGCCTTTAACAGAAAGAAACTATGATCCATGGAATGACGACACTCTGTGGATTTCAAAGATTTCAAGAAATCTGTTTTTACTTTAACCTCGTGAAAAGATACAGGTGAGACTGATGTTTCCATTGTTACTCAAAAAGGAAAACCCTGCCAAATAGCATAATTCATAGAGCCAAAACCTGATGTTGTTTTTGCCTTGTCTATATAAAAGAGCTATGACTGTGCATTTGAGTGACATTTTCCATCCATTATTAGGAAGGAGATCAGGCTAACACATTCTTCTTAACGTGTAACTACATGCTCTGGCAGTCAGAGAGCTCCTCTTTGGGGACTAAAGACACGTACTGACAGTTTCACAATTGGCCATGTCAATTTTTATGATTAAATATGTCATAAAGTTGAAGGGCTGGTGCATTTACGTGGTTCTAATAGTTTGTGGATGACAGTGGAGGTCCTGGGCACAGTGGAATAAAGTATAGCAGTGTTTCCCTTTGCAGGAGAATCATATCAATTTTTTGGGGATGGAAATTATTGGTAAAGATGAAAAAATATCAAGATTAACTAACACCAGTGTGGAGCGTTAGCAATTACCATAGCTACACAGATTTATACATCTGTGCCCTCAAACGTATTCGATTTTAAATCAAACAGTGATGACGTGATTGGTGCAGACTTTAACTGAACGGGTGCAAAAACTGTATTATCTGTTCAGGAATTAGAGTCAATTGTTTGACATAGTCTTAATTTCAGATGCACCTTCATGGCTCCAATGAATTAACTCGCATATGTGTTACCTGGACAGGTGAATTCTCTATATTTCATCCAAAGAGACATCAGTGCAAGGAGCCCCTCCCCCAAAAAAGCAAAACCAAAAACTGAAGGCACAACTTACAAACGAGTGGCAACTAAATAAAGACCTGGCAGAGCGTCTCAGTGGCGGAAATATATATGTAATGAGATCCATGGGCTCTAGACTTGAAAGGATTCAAAACAGTCCTTACATTTGAAATTATGTTAGTTTGTCCAATTACTTTGAGCCTCTGCCAATGGGAACTATGGCTGTGATTCATAAGCAGTAAATGCAAACATTACTGTAAAACTCTTTGAATTAAAAGCCACAATTCTGTACTTTGATTACACTGTGATTGTTTGATTTAAAAACTGCAAAAATATGTAATTGTTCAGAACAAGTTGTATGATTTGGTGTGTACCATGACCAACAACAGTTAAAACAACAACATATTCTGATGTCACAGGGTTGGGGGTTGCATGAACTATCAGACTCAGTACAAAGCTGGTATCTATATGTCCTATTTAAAGGATACATGAGAGGAAAGTATCTTTGCAGACTTAAGTTCTAAATGACCTTTGAGAAAATCAGAGAGGCGACTATGGCAGAATAATTCTGTTTGTGCATCCAGTCAATGAATCATGAAATATTCTGCGGTTATTAAATGTAAGTTTCAGGGACTTAATAAACAGATAGTAGGGAGCACCTACCCTGAGGAATGTCTGTATTAGCGACTATACAGAGGTCAACATTAATTTCCATCAATATCAGATGTGTCAGAGTCAATTACTGATATGGTACTGGAGGGAAAAGCAGCCACCTACGGTCTGAGCACCAAATGAGCAATCCCTACAGGAAGAAACACTTGGAAACGAGGAGTCTGAATGCTTATCTCCCACTCTCTGTACCTTTGGCATTGGTGCTGTAAAAACAGCTCAGTATCTGTTGGGGAACTGCGTTGGAGCTTATGGGTCACATGGGGAAATCATGTGTAGAATCTGTCAGATGGCTACGGCTCTCTAACTGAAAGGAAGTCCCTCATGACTTCTCTTCATTGTCACTACATAAACAACCCCCTCCAGTGTAATCTGAATTAACTGTTAAACAAAGCGTCTCTAAGTTCTGTTTTCCATATGATCTTTGTCTAAACATATGGTCTTACCTGAACGGTTGCGTTCTAGTACCCTGCTGCCTTTGACGTGGCACAGGTCACCTTGAGTACTGTTGCAGGTGGTGTTGAGATCAGCTTTGCAGTAGGTGGGGGAGCCTCCCTGCACTGCTTGAGGGATATGTTTCTTCCTCTTTTTGGGTAACTTCTGCTTGGCCATAGCCAGAGAATAGTACATTCCAAAGTTATTGACGATAACGGGCACAGGCATGGCTATCGTCAGCACACCGGCTAAAGCACATAATGCGCCCACGACCATACCTGACCAGGTCTCTGGATACATATCACCATATCCCAGTGTTGTCATGGTTACCACGGCCCACCAGAAGCCGATGGGGATGTTCTTGAACTTAGTGTGGAGGGTAGCCGTGGGATCATTGGGCTTGGCGCCGATTCTTTCGGCATAGTATATCATTGTGGCAAAAATTAACACTCCCAATGCCAGGAAGATGATGAGCAGCAGGAATTCATTGGTGCTAGCCCGTAACGTGTGGCCCAGTACTCTAAGTCCCACAAAGTGTCGTGTTAACTTGAAGATACGCAGAATACGAACAAAACGAACCACCCTGAGGAAACCCAACACATCCTTGGCAGCCTTTGAAGAAAGGCCGCTCAGCCCAACCTCCAAGTAGAAAGGCAAGATAGCCACGAAGTCAATGATGTTAAGAAGACTCTTAAAAAACTCCAACTTGACTGGGCAGAAGGTCACACGCACCAGGAACTCAATGGTGAACCAGAAGACACAAACACCTTCCACATATGTAAGAGCAGGATCAGTTTCGATCTCATACTGTGGACCTGAGTCGGTCACGTTGCCGTCCCGCGCCACATCAGTCTTGTTGATGATTTTGTTGAAAGCCTCATGAGTCTCCAAACAGAAGGTGGTAATGGAAACCAGGATGAAGAACAAAGACACGAAGGCAATAAACTAAGAGAAAGAAGACAAAGAAGACAAAAACACATTATTGCCATTACATTTCATTTCAACCATGACTTCCTAGACTATTTAGGATAGATTCGACACCAAAATCATTCAATAAGTGTTCTCATGAGAACGGGACAAACTACAACAGTTTTATTACATTTGCATAATTTTGAAGGGACTAAAGAGCGGAGACTCAATCTGGGAATGCAGATCCAGTCTAGTAAAGCAAGAAAGGCCCAGTAGACTTCAAACCCAGTGGAGAAAGGTGACGGGGAATCTCTCCATTTGGTTTTGCATATTGAGTTATACACCCGCTCTCAAAAACATACTTCATTCTGACCTCATAGTTTAGCTGCTGTTACTATATTAGTCTAGAGCCAATAGCTCAAAGCTTAAAGGGCAATTAAAAAGGCTATTCTGCTGATATTCAAACCCTGATCTCTAATACATCTGGGCATGTCTATTAGCAACACGTTATAAAAATGATCATCTTCATTATAGATCGACTGACTTTGGCCTTATTTCTGTCACTTATGTTAGTGCTAAGCAATCGTCTTTGGAGTAAGATGTGACGTAATGCCATACCTTATCAAACCCTGTAAGATGCAGTATCATTTGAAAGGTCAATAATAAACTGCTATGCTTTAATAGGTTAACTGGCACCCAATTGCAGACTTGTTCTTAACTCATTCACTGGTAGCTTACTGGACATCCTTGAGCAGATAGAGATTTGTTGCACAGTGGTAAAGTCTGAATCTATAGATCTACGATAAATATATCATTGACATCAGTTTGGCATTAGCAATCTATTCATTTTCCCAGAGGGAGTCTGCATGTTATTAAAGTAACATAGATAATCCTTAATGGAAACAGCTTCCTGATGTGGAGCTCAAATCCAGACTGCTGTGGAAGAAGACATGCTCAACTTTCTCTAAGAGCTGGATGGAGCAGATTTACAGCCTGGTATGCTGCTTCTCCACCATCCTCCCACAGTCCCTCCACTGGTGCGCTCTACCTACTGTGCTCTAAAGAAGTCGTTTCACACTCTGCCTTGTTTTGGATTGCATGACTCACACGCTCTCATAAATATCATTGCCACTATTTGGGTTACTGTGATCCTGAACTGTGTGTGCATTCACTCAAGTTCCTCTCTTTATGTATCGTTATTACCCTGTAAGTGTTTTTGTTCACACTTTCAATGGCACAAAGTTAAAGCCTCAGCACAGAGTGGGGATAAGTCGGTATCACTAAACACCATGCACTGTGGATTACTCAGTTTATATGTATTTTGAGATTGTTGATTATATACTATATGTAGATATGCAATATAAGGCAATATAACAAGCTGTTCAGTTCCCACCTCTGACATTGGGCTATGAGTTTATTTTCCTCTACTACAGACTGATCCAAGCTGTAGGCGAAGGTAAACAAGACGCCATTGCTGCAGTGGGATGTCACTTCTGAACTAACACAATAAATCTCTGCAGTACAGGGCACTGCATGTGATTTCACTTTTTCTCTTTGCTAAGAAATTAAGCAAATCATCGAACTCAATCTGGATGCAACCTGCTGCAAGAATAAACAACATTCAGAAGAATAATGCTCCCTCTCGAGGGCCATGGGTGAGTCTGTCCAAACTGTTTGAAGGACTCCAAAATGCAAGATCTAAACAA